TGTATGGTTCCCGCCTCCACTACGTCACTTTCTAGGCTATTCCACGGCCTGACTACTCTATGACTGAAGAAATACTTCCTAACATCCCTTTGATTCATCTGAGTCTTCAACTTCCAATTGTGACCTCTTGTGTCTGTGTCCCATCTCTGGAACATCCCATCTTTGTCCACCTTGTCTATTCGTGCAGTATTTTATATGTCGTTATCATGTCTCCCCTGACCCTCCTGTCCTCCAGTGTTGTCAGGCCGATTTCCTTCAACCTTTCTTCGTAAGACAATCCCGTTAGCTCTGGGACTAGTCTTGTTGCAAACCTTTGCACTTTCTCTAATTTCTTGACGTGCTTGACCAGGTGTGGATTTCAAACTGATGCTGCAATCTCCAGTATGGGTCTGACGCAAATGGTGTACAGAGTCTTGAGCGATTGTTTACTGAGGTATCGGAACGATATCATTTGGTTTGCCAGACACCCGTGTGCTGCAGGAGTTACCTGATTTATGTGTGGCTCAGGAGATGTGCTCGGTATTATACTCACCCCCAGATCTTTTTCCTTGAGTGAGGTTTGCAATCTTTGGCCATCTAAACTATATTGTGTCTGCAGTCTTCTTTGCCCTTCCCCAATCTTCATGACTTTGCATTTGGCAGGGTTATACTCAAGGAGCCAGTTGCTGAACCAGGCTTGTAGCCTGCCCAGGTCTCTTTGTAGTTCTGCCTGATCCTCGTCCGATTTGATTCTTCTCATTAACTTCACATCATCTGCAAACAAGGACACTTCTGAGTCTATCCCTTCCGTTATGTCATTCACATATACCAAGAACAGCATAGGTCCTAGGACTGACCCCTGTGGAACCCCGCTTGTCACAGGAGCCCAGTCTGACACCTCGTCACGTACCATAACTCGTTGTTGCCTCCCTGTCAGGTATTCTCTGATCCATTGCAGTGCCTTTCCTGTTATGTGTGCCTGATCCTCTAGCTTTTTCAGTAACCTCTTGTGAGGAACTGTGTCGAAGGCCTTCTTGCAGTTCAAAAAAATGCAGTCGATCAACACCTCTCTCTCTTGTCTTACTTCTGTCACCTTGTCATATAACTCCAGTAGGTTTGTGACACAGGATTTTTCTTCCCTGAAACCGTGCTGGTTGTCAATTATACACTTGTTTCTTTCCAGGTGCTCCACCACTCTCCTCCTGATGATCTTCTCCATGACTTTGCATACTATACACGTTAGTGATACAGGTCTGTAGTTTAGTGCCTCATGTCTGTCTCCCATTTTAAAAACTGGGACTACATTTGCCATCTTCCATACCTCAGTGAGTTGCCCAGTTTCAATTGATGTGTTGAAGATCTTTGTTAATGGCACACAGAGTATCTCTGCTCCCTCTTTAAGGACCCACGGACAGATGTTGTCTGGTCTCACCGCCTTTGAGGTGTCAAGTTCGCATAGCAGCATTTTCACCTCCTTCTTGGTTATATGTACCTCATCCAGCACTTGCTGGTGTACCCCCCTGTTCTGATTTCCTGGAGTCCTACTGGTTTCCACTGTAAATACTTCTTTAAATCTCGTGTTGAGCTCCTGACATATCTCTCGGTCGTTTCTTGTGAACTCCCCATCACCCTTCCTCAGTCTGATTACCTGGTCCTTGACTGTTGTTTTCCTCCTGATGTGGCTTTACAACAGCTTCGGGTCAGACTTGACTTTCGATGCTATGTCATTTTCATATTGTCGCTGAGCCTCCCTTCTTATCTGTGCATATTCGTTTCTGGCTCTTCGGCTAATCTCTTTATTTTCCTGAGTTCTCTGTCTTCTGTACCTTTTCCATTCTGTGTGTGTGTGTGTGTGTGTGTGTGTGTGTGTGTAGTAATTTATAATTATAATATATTCATATGCATGGTATATTGCTGGCAAATAAAGCAGTGTGACCAGACGAAATATAAACTTTGATTTTAAAGATTTACATTTATATTGAAGGCAAATATATTTTAAACTAACATGTACAGAAATAACTCAGATATATTACCAGTGAAATGTCATTACGAATTATGATTATTACACTCAAAAGAGTGGTAAATCCTAAGTGTCAAACATAAGGAGAGACGAGAGGCATTCAGGTTGAATCCTAGGGTAGGACAGGTTCAACTATAGACATCACGAGCGCCTAAGTAGAGTCAAAGAACCTACCTTGAAGAGTGTCGTCAACAATCATCAACTCTGATGATGGATCGCAGTTGTTGATAGAGTTGACACTACACTTGACACTACACTCAGTTGACACTACACTCAGCTCACACACTGAGGTCTGGAGTTCGAATCTCCTCCAGTACGACTGGAAAGCATTAGGGATGTGTTTCCATAAGACAAATACTGTTCTTGTTTGCCCATCAGTTTAAAATGGGTACCTGGGTGTTACTCGACTGGTGTGGGTCGCATCCTGGGACAAAACTGACCTAATTTGCGGAAAATGCTCTGTATAACAAGCGGCTTTCTATATAGTAGTATGTCATTGATGTCAGCTAGGACTGTATACCTTGTAGTAAATAAAGATATTCTTCATCTTCTTCTTCTTCTTCATCTTCTTCTTCTTCTTCTTCTTCTTCTTCTTATTATTATTATTATTATTATTATTATTATTATTATTATTATTATTTTTATTATTATTCTTAAAGATAAAACAACAACTTTGGAAAAGTAAAAATATCAGCAGTAAGAAGTAAAACTTTATTATCAACTAAATACACTGAGAATCTTTGTTATTGAATACAGTAGTTATAATATTACTGAATACCAATAATCAATGATTATAATGTTAAGATTAGGATAAATTTGTGGTAATGTGGAAACAATATTTACTGCGAGTGAGGAATGTGTCAGCAGGTGACAGTGTAAGTAGGTGTTGCAGGGAACATGATGACCACAGTAATATATAACCAGCAGGTGACAGTGTAAGTAGATGTTGCAGGAACATGATGACCACAGTAATATATAACCAGCAGGTGACAGTGTAAGTAGATGTTACAGGAACATGATGACCACAGTAATATATAACCAGCAGGTGACAGTGTAAGTAGATGTTGCAGGAACATGATGACCACAGTAATATATAACCAGCAGGTGACAGTGTAAGTAGATGTTACAGGAACATGATGACCACAGTAATATATAACCAGCAGGTGACAGTGTAAGTAGATGTTGCAGGAACATGATGACCACAGTAATATATAACCAGCAGGTGACAGTGTAAGTAGATGTTGCAGGGAACATGATGACCACAGTAATATATAACCAGCAGGTGACAGTGTAAGTAGATGTTGCAGGGAACATAATGACCACAGTAATATATAACCAGCAGGTGACAGTGTAAGTAGATGTTGCAGGGAACATGATGACCACAGTAATATATAACCAGCAGGTGACAGTGTAAGTAGATGTTGCAGGAACATGATGATCACAGTAATATATGACCAGCAGGTGACAGTGTAAGTAGATATTGCAGGAACATGATGACCACAGTAATATATAACCAGCAGGTGACAGTGTAAGTAGATGTTGCAGGGAACATGATGACCACATTAATATATGACCAGCATGTGACCGTGTAAGTAGATGTTGCAGGGAACATGATGACCACAGTAATATATAACCAGCAGGTGACCGTGTAAGTAGATGTTGCAGGGATCATGATGAGCACAGTAATATATAACCAGCAGGTGACCGTGTAAGTAGATGTTGCAGGGAACGTGATGACCACAGTAATATATGACCAGCAGGTGACAGTGAAAATAGAAGTGGAAGGGAATATAATAACCATAAACATCTAAATTTGTTTAATGTGAAGAATGAGATGCTCGAGGAACAATACAAGCAGACTGGTAATATCACCCACCAGGAGGATAACAAGCATTCCCTGAAATACAAAATATTGATTATATTACAATGCCCAATATTAACATCAGTAAGGCAAATTTTACAAGAGAATGTATATAAACAAATATTCTCTAATGTATTTTAAATTCATAATGGTAATAACAAAATTTCTCAATGTCACAAACATTGATCAATAAGAAAGTGAAAACAGCTGTGTATTATTTCTCTGAGCTCGAAGGATATACAGTAGGGCCCCGCTTTACGGTGTTTTGCCTTGCGGCGTTCCACTAAAACGGCGATTTTAAATTATGACCAAAATTTGCTATAATGAGCGGTCTTTCAAATAATGTGCGCCCCACCCGGTTTGTTTACATTCTCCATGAGCACATCTACTGTACAGCAATTCACGACCCGTGTGGATTTAGCGCTTCTTTTTATTATGATTATAATAACTTGTAATAATAATAACAACTTGTAATAATACTAATTTGTAATAATGATAATAATAATAATAATAATAATAATAATAATAATAATAATAATATAATAATAATAATAATAATAATAATAATAATAATAACAGTAATACTAATTTGTCAGAGCATCATTCCTAAAAATTACATGAGAATGGAAGTGTTGGTCTTTATTTATTCTACAAATAAATACTTTTCACCCTCACAGCACATTAAGACTAAACATATTTTAAGGTAAGTAATGAGTGTACTGTGTATGCATTTTATCACTACAGGGAGCTTTAAGCGTCGTTGTAGTATATTATGTGTGATTGGGGTGGCCAAGAGGGCTACCATACCCACCACACCTGACTTCTTACAGTAAATACTACTCACCTTTTGCCCTACATTAAGATTACAAATATTTTGAGGTAAATAATGAGTGTACTTTGTGTGTATTTTACTTTTTATTGCTTTTAATGCCTAGTTCTATTGCTAGCTTAATATATGCTAGTATAAATTTATTATCTGGCATTTATATGCATTTATAACTGGAAAAAAATGGCGTTCTGCTTTCCGGCAGTAGCCTGGAACCTAACCTGCCTTATAAGTGGGGCCCTAGTGTAGATCTCTTTAATTTCCTGTTCGAGTAGTTTTTCACTTTTTCATTTGTTTTGATTTTTTTTAATTACCCAGAGGTTACTGAGGGAGAGTGCCTCGTTGACAGTGATCTTGTTGGAGACATGATCACACACAGTGGAGTTGGGTTCTTCAGCTATCAACCACTGGAAGAACAACCCAGCCTCCGTCATCGACATTATCCTGAGAGGTAACCAGTACAAATTTTACAATAAAAGAACAAGTTAAAATCAAATAAGTCAACAGATGCTGACGAACTGTTTTCCAGTCATAAAGGAATATAAGCAGGAACTTAGTAAACCATTAGCTAATCTTTTCAATGAATCACTACAAACGGGTAACGTACCAGACAAATGTGATACCTATCCTACAAATCTGGAGATTGGTCTTTAATCTCAATCTATAGACCAATTAGCCTAACTTTAATTGTAGCAAAGTTGACGGAATCAATAACTGCGGACAAAGTTTGCAGCTAGTTTGGAAAGTAAAGCCTTGGATAGAGTTCCACTCATGAGACTATTGAAGAAAGTTGCAATGTATGGAATTGGAAAAATAATCTAGATCGAGGAATAGCTGATCGATAGACAATACAGAGTTTGTATAAATGGAGAGAAATCATAATAGAGGCCGATTACCAGTGATATTCCACAGGAGTTTAGTATTGGGCTCTTTATTATGCATAAACAGTGTATTAACGATATTGATGAGGGAGTGATACATGCAAGTTTGTAGATACTAAAATAGGCCGTCAAATAAATTCGGATGAGGTCACAAGAGAGCTACGGAATAAACTAAACAGGTTAATGTTGTGGTCAAAGAAATAGCAGATGCAGTTTAAACCATACCACTGGTGGTATGGTTTTTTTGCAATCGTGTTATTACGATTTCGTGAGTCAGATGCAGTTTAATCTAGACAGGTGTAAGGTTCTGTTCCTGGGGACAGAAAATGAATAAGGCACCTCTAAGCTAAACAATGTAGATCTTTCAGACTGAATGCGACAAAGATTTAGAATATATAGATAGCAGTAATTTAGAACCAGAATAACAGTGCATAAGTGCATGTAATAAATGCAATAGATTTCGTGGCCTTATATTAGGAAACACAAGTAATGAAACAGAATTTCTCAAGTTATACTTGAGGAGACGCCTCATTTACATTATTCTGTTCATTACTAGTCACAATTTTGCATAAATATGCTGAAAAACATACTGAAATATGACAAACTTTATCAGAAATATATTTTACGAAAGCAGGTGTGAAGGCGGTGAATTTGCATTCTCTGGAAGGACGTAGAATTATGAAGGACATCGACTGAAGCGTAATAATGGGAAATTGGAATAAAATTTGGGGGTATAAATCATGTGCCGAGAATATCAAACCAAGAGAGAATTCGCAACAATGTGTTCAAGTTGGAGAAATTAGATTTAGAAGGGATATAAGAAAGTTCTGGTTTAGCAACAATTGCTAAGCAAACTTCCCTTTAGAGTTACTGAAGTCAGAATCTTAGGTAGCTACCCTGAAGTCTAGGTTGTACAAATGCATGAGTGGTGGTTGGCCTAGCATGGGCCAGTAGGTCTACTTCAGTATTCCTTCATTGCTTTAACTCTTCCTAAAGCCCCAGAAGTTTATTTTCCTACCATCTGTTACAAAAAAGTTCTATATGTATAAGTTATAGACATCTCGAGAATCTACTAGAAGGTCTCCCCCTCTAGCATTCAGCCTGTTTCTGTTTGTTTTTTTGTAATAAGTAGTCAGTATTTTGGTCCAGTTATACTTTAAAAATTATCAAAATTTTATTAGTACTTTAGGATTGCAACTTATAGGATACTAACTAAAGAAATAAAAATTAAAAAGTTCATTATCAATGTTGTCTATGTGGACAAAATCAAAGTAAATGAATTTAATATAATTTAGCATATGAGTTCCTACACTTCTCTTGTAAAGCAAAGAAAAATTGTACAGTATTATATACTGCTGAAGGCATATTTCATATCTTATGGTTCTTAAGTACCGTCTGGTACGTTGTCAGCAATTATAAAAATATTACTAGTATATACAAGCATGTGTGTGAGAATGTGTATGTTCTTAAAGTTGTTCGTTATGTTTCAGTAAAATTCGACTCAAACAGTGACTGACTGAACGTCCTCAAATAATCTAGCTTCTTGACCAACCAGGCAATCAAAATAGCTTGCTTGAACAGGAAGATGAACAATTTGCTGAACAATAATATTATAAGCAGCAGAAGCACAGCGTCAGGAACAAGGAGACAAAATAACGACCCTAACTGGGGACCTTCAGCAGATCCTCCATAAAAAGCATAAAACTTCCTTAATACTGAATCTAAGTTCAGCATAACAAAATCCACGACTACAACAGTGAACAGATGTCAAACAACACAGGTCAGAAGCTGTAGTTTGGACCTGGGTTAACTTAAGAGCGCCAGTACGATGCACAACCTCAGTAAAACGTCAAAAATCACTAAGTCTGAATTGTGCTCTGTGAACAGAGTTGCACAGAGTTACAAGAAGTATGTTTCGACTCACCAGCGAAATAATACTCTGCCAAAATAGAGTCTAAATAACGAACAAACAACCAGAGATGGAAGAGATCTCCGGGGGAGAGAGAGAGAGAGAGAGAGAGAGAGAGAGAGAGAGAGAGAGTGTTGGTCCAGCAGTGACCAGCTGAGGAAAGAGAGATGAAAGGACAGTGTCCAATCTCAGGTGCGATCACGTGACTCGCCCAGCTACTCCAGGACGATGCGAGGTACACCTTGACACTAACAAATGAGTGGTAGAAAACAACGTAGTTTGCCAATGTGGACAACCAACCACAACTCTCAAACAGTGAGCACAGTAAAGTGTAAATGTTACATCCTACCTCATGACATAAGCTAAGCCAAATTATAATATAAAGCAAGATATTTCCATATTAACTAATAACGAAAATATCAGCAATATAATATTATATGAAAAATAATAAACACCAAATATACATTACATACATTAGGCCCCACTCAGGGGGAACAATACCACCTCAGGGCCAGACTGTCCATAAACTCAAAATAAATAGTAATGAACGACTTACAATGATATATTCCGTATGTAGAAAAAAAATTGTATTCTGTTTATCTTATTTCTAAATGTTTTTTTTTTACCTACAATTTTTTTAATAATCAATACAAAGATAACAACCGACAAGCATTTTAATTTACCTTTTATTAATAAATGGCAGCAGTGGGCTGTCCTTTTGACCAATCATTACATATATTGCCATCAAGAATTCTTCTTTGGACTCGTAAAAGGAACACTTGCCTGCAAAATATTTTATCATTATTTTAAACACATTAAGTTTGTTTCTACCTCCTCTTCAACGATACACAAGTTAAAACTAAATCAGAGTTACTAGACAGTAACGTAAAAAATATAAGTAACTGTAACAGAGCAAATAAAATAGAAAAAATAGCAAGGGGCGATAACGAAGTATGAGAGAGAAAAATGGAAGATTAAGTAAAGACTTCAGAGAAGAAAGAGAATAACTGTTTGTAAACATGTAGGTCAAGAGGAGTTGGAAAACATCCACATAATAATGTAAAGAACTATAAACTTACTAACAGGAGCTTGATTTAATAAAAAAAACGGTATCAGACAACATGTTTCCATTAGACAAACAGAGAAAGACATAACGGAGGATTTGGAAGCCCACAAAAAGCCTATCTGCAAACAGGAACAATTTACGTCTATCTAGATCAAGAACTAATAGTGAATTATCTAGATAGACGAGTGAAAAGATAGAAAAACAGAAGGCTCTCTCTGGGCCCTCCAGTCTCTCCGGCCATTATAGGCATGAAAACTGTGGGAAAAATATGGTATACCATACTGGAAAAAATATCATGTGATGGATCTGTATGGAAAACTGTTACTAATGTTAACTATTAATGGTACATCACTGACAGTGAGAAGTGAATGTACCAATAGTTCTACTTATGGTACTACCCAGGAAGGTGCCTTGTTAGTTAGATGCCTTGATTTAAGAAACTCCACTTCCTTGGATCGAGCCTTAACATCCTACATGTCCCAGACATCATTTGACCTCACTGAGTCTAGCATTTCCCCTGATTCAAGTAAAAATAAAATATATTTCTGCTTACCATTACGTTTATGTTGCCACAATCATCTACTTCTACTCTAACTGATTCAGTTATCTCGTTATCAACTGATCATCTGGTGGATCTACTTCTACTCTAACTGATTCAGTTATCTCGTTATCAACTGATCATCTGGTGGATCTACTTCTACTCTAACTGATTCAGTTATCTCGTTATCAACTGATCATCTGGTGGAAGTGCTCAATAAACACCAGGATTCTGCTGAATTCGGGTTACTTCATCTGTTGTTGCGCATGATTGTTATTCAGGGTTCTGCATTGCATGGATATATGTATGGAGAAGTGTGCCATAATTTTGTAAACATAATTGTAAATCATAATGTATGATTTACTATTATGTTTACAAAATTATGTGTTTCCATAAGACACCTACTGTCCCTGTCCCTGTTCATCCTGGGTGTAAGTCGACTGGTGTGGGTCGCATCCTGGGACAAAACTGACCTAATTCGCCCAAAATGCTCTGCATAACAAGGGGCTTTCTATATAGTAGTAGTGGTAATTGATGTCACCTAGGCCTGTATACCATGTACTTCTAGTAAATAAAGATATTATTATTATTATTATTATTATTATTATTATTATTATTATTATCATTATTATTATTATTATTATTATTATTATTATTATTATTATTATTATTATTATTATTAAGTGTGGGGATAGCGTCAGTGAGCTTGGCGTGGGGAGTCACGAGGAGGTAGTCACCAGGTGAGCGGCACGGTGGAAGATGCATTCCAGATGCCGTGTATTTTAAAAAAAAAGCTAAGTTTTTTACTCTTTTTGTTTAGGCAACTCACGCCATAGGATACTTTAATGCTTACCAATAGGCTCACTAGGGCTCTGATGTGGTCAGAACTCTGTTAGCTGAGGGGATAGTTGGTAAATTTGGGATAACATGTTTTCGGCAGAAGAGTAGTGTAGGGCATGGTGTCCACGGAGGACCACCCGATTACCCCATACATCCTGTATTTTATTTTGCGGTGACTCTCCAGCCTGCCGACTCTTCAGGTATCTGTTTGTGGGTGTTTATGCTACAAGGGAGAGATGGTGTGTATTTAATGTGTGATGTAGTGTTCATACAAATAAATGTATAATTTCCTAACAAAGAATTTTCCCTGAGCCCTCTGATAACCAACCCATTTATGTATTTAATGCTGGATTAGAGCTTTCTGTTTTTTTCTGGAATAGCCCTGGGTGGCCTAGTATTACATGACATGTGTGTAACTTTTACTTTTGCGCTTAGACAAGGCCTTGAGCCCCCAGGAGCACCCTTTTCCGCATAACAATGATGATCCATGTGGGTTTAGTGAATGGTCATGTGAGATAACGAGAATATTAGGCAACATCTCGATTCTTCAAGATATTCTACACCCTGCAGGTGACTAATGTATTATCAAGTTTTGTAACATACGGTACAATATGGATTGATCCAGCAAACTTGAATGATAAATTTATACTGAATATGTCAACCCTGAAGGTTCTGATAACAGCTAAAACTAACCAATCAATATATAGTTTATATAAATACTGTGTATAATACTTTTAGTAATTCCACACCATGTCCTAATCTACGAGCTCCGAATTCTCCGCATAATATTCGTATAACATATTGCCTTCAAACTCGACATCTCTGCTGCCTCCAGCCTCCTCCTTGCTGCAACATTCAAAACCCATGTTTCACACCCATACAACAGTGTTGGTCTCATTATATTCTGATACATTCCCTTTATAGAACCATTTGCCGAGAAGTCAACTCCCAAATATATAAGAACACTGTTCTTTCTCCATACCCCCTTTCTATCTGTTTGATATACAGCATCTAACTGCCTATATTATTCGATACTCTCATCACCATGGGTTTTCTATGTTCGCTTTTAATATCATATTTTTACACATGCATGTATACAAAAAATTATGCATAAGTACAAACAAACATATATAGACATATGCAAAAATATATGTCTGCGAATGAATGAGTGTTTGTGTGTATGTGTGTGTATGAATGCAGTGCATAGTAATATATATATATATATATATATATATATATATATATATATATATATATATATATATATATAATATATATATATATATATATATATATATATACATATATATATATGTCGTATATGTCGTGCCGAATAGGCAGAACTTGCGATCTTGGCTTAAATAGCAAGGCTCATCTTGCCATATACGACAAGCGAAAATTTGTGTATGCAATAATTTCGCCAAAATCATTCTGAACCTAACGAAAAAAATATATTTCACTGTGTTTGTTTAGTATTAAATTATTGTAAACAAATCTAAAATATATTTAGATGGGTTAGGCTAAAATAAATTGTTCTTGTTATCATAAGGTTAGGTAAGTTTTCTAAGTTTCTTTTGGTGCAAAATTATAAATTTTTACATCAACATTAATGAAAAAAATATATCTTTAAACGTATAAGAGAAAATTTTAGAAAGGACTTAATTTTAAATGAGTTCTTGCTAATTGACCAGTTTTACATATTCGGCGATATATATATATATATATATATATATATATATATATATATATATATATATATATATATATATATATATATATATATATATATATATATATATATATATATATATATATATATATATATATATATATATATGCAAAACAACCACTCTGAAAGAATAGAGAAATTCCAAGCGCTTTCGTGACTACTCACATTATAGTTCCTTGATAATGTGAGTAGTCACGAATGCGCTTGGAATTTCTCTATTCTTTCAGAGTGGTTGTTTTGCATATTCTGAAATCACCTGTTTACTGTGATCTTATTGCATATATATATATTTATATATATATATATATATGTATATATATATATATATATATATATATATATATATATATATATATATATATATATATATATATATATATCATTTAATAAACTGCAGAAGGCCAGGGTTCGACCCCACGACACATTATCCTGCCTCAAGAGACAACACAGCGTACATGTCACGTTATAGACTCAGCCATCGATCCTGCAAGTATCTACTCCCAGTTTGGTGTACTAGCGTCCTTAAATACCACTCGTTCATGGTTTCAATAATATATATACTGCTTGTGGAGGCTAGTACACCAAACGGGGAGTAGAATGAAATTAGCTCTGAGGCACCCACACTATCCTATGTCCTCGGATCACGATACAACACCTATCTCTGCTGGGTGCATGATCTTGGTAGGATTGGATGGTACAGTGGGTTAGAGCATCGTGAATTTTCGCTCACCATGAGGCGGGCTAAAACAACACGGGTTCGATCCCCTGTTTAGTCGCACTGTTGTTATTGATTAAAAACTACTCGTTAGTGGTTACAATAATATATATATATATATATATATATTTATATATATATATATATATATATATATATATATATATATATATATATATATATATATACATATATATATATATATATATATATATATATATAATATATATTATATTGTGTGTGTGTGTGTGTGTGTGTGTGTGTGTGTACTCACCTAGTTGAGGTTGAAGGGGTAGAGTCCAAGCTCCTGGCCCCGCCTCTTCACTGGTCGCTACTAGGTTGACTCTCCCTGTACCATGAGCTTTATCATACCTCTGCTTAAAGCTATGTATGGATCCTGCCTCCACTACTTCTCTTCCCAAACTATTCCACTTCCTGACTACTCTGTGGCTGAAGAAATACTTCCTAACATCCCTGTGATTCATCTGTGTCTTCAACTTCCAACTGTGTCCCCTTGTTACTGTGTCCAATCTCTGGAACATCCTGTCTTTGTCCACCTTGTCAATTCTTCTCAGTATTTTGTATGTCGTTATCATGCCCCCCCTATCTCTCCTGTCCTCCAGTGTCGTCAGGTTGATTTCCCTTAACCTCTCCTCGTAGGACATACCTCTTAGCTCTGGGACTAGTCGTCTTTGCACTTTCTCTAGTTTCTTTACGTGCTTGGCTAGGTGTGGGTTCCAAACTGGTGCCGCATACTCCAATATGGGTCTAACGTACACGGTGTACAGGGTCCTGAACGATTCCTTATTAAGATGTCGGAATGCTGTTCTGAGGTTTGCTAGGCGCCCATATGCTGCTGCCGTTATTTGGTTGATGTGCGCTTCAGGAGATGTGCCTGGTGTTATACTCACCCCAAGATCTTTTTCCTTGAGTGAGGTTTGTATTCTCTGGCCCCCTAGACTGTACTCCGTCTGCTGTCTTCTTTGCCCCTCCCCAATCTTCATGACTTTGCACTTGGTGGGATTGAACTCCAGGAGCCAATTGCTGGACCAGGTCTGCAGCCTGTCCAGATCCCTTTGTAGTTCTGCCTGGTCTTCGATCGAATGAATTCTTCTCATCAACTTTACGTCATCTGCAAACAGGGACACCACGGAGTCTATTCCTTCCGTCATGTCGTTCACAAATACCAGAAACAGCACTGGTCCTAGGACTGACCCCTGTGGGACCCCGCTGGTCACATACCATGACTCGCAGCTGTCTTCCTGACAAGTATTCCCTGATCCATTGTAGTGCCTTCCCTGTTATCCCTGCTTGGTCCTCCAGTTTTTGCACTAATCTCTTGTGTGGAACTGTATCAAACGCCTTCTTGCAGTCCAAGAAAATGCAATCCACCCACCCCTCTCTCTCTTGTCTTACTACTGTCACCATGTCATAGAACTCCAGTAGGTTTGTGACACAGAAATTCCCGTCCCTGAAACCGTGTTGGCTGCTGTTGATGAGATCATTCCTTTCTAGGTGTTCCACAACTCTTCTCCTGATAATCTTCTCCATGACTTTGCATACTATACATGTCAGTGACACTGGTCTGTAGTTTAGTGTTTCATGTCTGTCTCTTTTTTTAAAGATTGGGACTACATTTGCTGTCTTCCATGCCTCAGGCAATCTCCCTGTTTCAATAGATGTATTGAATATTGTTGTTAGGGGTACACATAGCGCCTCTGCTCCCTCTCTCAGGACCCATGGGGAGATGTTATCTGGCCCCATTGCCTTTGAGGTATCTGTTATGCAGGGTTCTGCATGACATCGTAATGTACATATAGTGGAGAAGTGTGCCATAATAGTATGAATGTTATAATTGTCAAGAATAATTTCATAATTCATAATGTGCATTTGGGGGCACTGTAAAGTACTCTAACTGTAATTATAAAGAAATCCTGATAGGGATTTATTTTCCAAGGGTGTTTGGGTATGCGGTCCTACTCCACGTGGCTTGGGGCAGTCACACAGAGTACTCCACGTGGCTTGGGGCAGTCACACAGAGTACTCCACGTGGCTTGGGGCAGTCATGTGGAGTCACCGTGGTGTGGAGGCTGGCATCGGAGATGCTGTGTATTTAAGCTAAGTTTGTAGTTGTGTACTCCTTTTGTTTAGCTAACCGAAGCCATAGGCTCTTCTATGGCTTACCTGTATGCCCACCTGGGCTCTGACATGGTCAGGGTGCTGTGGGACGAGTGAGGAAATAAGAAATGAGGTTGGGAGTGGAGTAGAGTCGGCCTGGTGCTGACTAGGCCTAGTGGTTATGGTAGCTGGACCTCCAGCCAGCTGTTTCTTGTGTACCCTCATTTGGGCGTTTAGGATTAAGGTGTTTTTAGAGTGTGTATATAGTGTTATGTTGAATAAATAGATATATTTTCCTAACTGGGATTTTTGCCAAACGCTTTGTTAAGCAACCCATTGAAGTACACATACTGGTTTAGCGCTTTCTGTTTTGACTGGGATAGCCCTGGGTGGCCTGTTTATGATTGAGATGTGTGTAACTTTTACCTTTGCCCTTAGACAAGGCTCAAGCCCCCAGCTATCCCACGTTTCTGCATAACATGGGGGCCTGTCCGGGATAATTATCAAATTTTGAGTGGTAATTCAAGTTTGCAACCTGGGAAGTCAATAATCATTCTTTACTGGGTTGGTTAGAGGAAGCATTCACTATAACACTCACACTAAAATAATAATTTACTTTTGTGTGCAATATTGCTGGTTTTTAGGGTGTTATTATTAACTAATACTCTGTGAATAATTTACCTTTCTGTGCCATCTTGTTGATTTTTAGGGTGTTATTAATACCTGATATTTTGTGCATAATTTACCCTTGCAGGTACAATCTTGCTGATTTTTAGGGGGTTATGTTTACCTAAATTTCTGGGAATAATTTTCCTTTGCAGGTACAGTAGCTCCATTTTTTCTGCCAGGATTTTCTTGTTATGTGCAATCCTGTTTAACTTTAGAGAGTCACATGACATTCACTCTTGTGAATATACTACTTCAGTATATGTACCTTGCTATGTGCTTTATTATTTTATATCAGTAAGTTCTGTGGCTGATAGCAAGATTTGGTGCTATTGTTTCCGAAAATGGCTGACACTGGTGAAAATTCTGGGGATGACATGCATTTGGAAGGTGACATTGAATCAAATTCCCATGTTAGGGACCTGGATAAGGAGGTAGAAATTTTACGAATGAAATTAGCCCTAGTTGCGGAAGAAAAGGAACGGTTAAGGATTAATCGTACAAAGATCCAAGAACAGAGAGCCTTAGAGGAGCTCAGGGCTCAAGAAAGAGCTAAAGAGAGGCAGCTTGCTTCTCACCCAGCCACAGACACGAGGGTACATGTTTTTCATTTGGATAAAGCCATAAAATTTGTGCCCAAATTTCTGGTCATGACCAGGCCATGACCAGTCCCTGACCAAGCCATGACCAGGCCATGACCAGTCCCTGACCAAGCCATGACCAGGCCATGACCAGTCCCTGACCAAGCCATGACCAGGCCATGACCAGTCCCTGACCAAGCCATGACCAGGCCCCTCACAGGCCGTGAGATTTGGCATATATTCAATTGTAGTTTGCTTCGGCAGTACGTACCTGTTTTCGTGAAGTCTTGAGCAATAGTTGACTTAAAACCAGAATGAACATTAATAAAGACGTGGTCGCCCCGTCGCACCAGAGTGTCAATGATTTCTTGGAACATCGGATGTGGTACGTAAATGAGTCGACCAATCTTCTCTGATTCAGCTATCTCCCGAAATACACCAGACTTCGCTAACTGAAAGCCTTAATTAATGCAGACTTAGGTATATTATACACACACACACAAACACACACACACACACACACACACACACACACACACACACACACACACACACATGAACTTGATACTTCAAAGTGGTGGGACCAGACAACATCTCTCCGTGGGTACTTAGAGAGGGAACAGAGATGCTGTGTGTGCCACTAACAAAAATCTTCAACACATCCATTGAAACTGGACAACTACATGAGGTATAGAAGTTGGCAAATGTAGTCTCAGTTTTTAAGAAAGGAAACAGACACGAGGCATTAAACTACAGAAATGTGTCACTGACGTGACACAGGCTTATAAACGACAACCAACACGGTATCAGGGAAGGAAAATCCTGTGTTACAAACCTACTGGAGTTTTATGACAAGGTAACAGAAGTAAGACACGAGAGAGAGGGGTGGATAGACTGTATTTTCTTGGACTGCAAGAAGGTTTCAATACAATTCCTCACAAGAGATTAATATAAAAGCTAGAGGATCAGGCATGCATAACAGGAAAGGCAGTGCAATGAATCAGAGAATATATGACAGGGAGGCAACAACGAGTTATGGTACGTGACGAGGTGTCAGAGAGGGCGCCTGTGATGAGTGGGGTTCCACAGGGGTCAGTCCCAGGTCCTGTGCTGTTTTTGGTACATGTGAATGACATAACTGAAGAGATAGACTCAGCAGTGTCCCTGTTTGCAGATGATGTGAAGTTAAATCGGTCAAGGATCAGGCAGGACTACAAAGAGACCTGGACAGGCTACAAGCCTGGTCTAGCAACCGGCTCCCCAAATTTAACCCTGTCAAATGCAAAGTCATGAAGATCGGAGAAGGGCAAAGAACACCGCAGACAGGGTATAGTTTAGGTGGCCAAAGACTACAAACCTCACTCAAAGAAAACGATCTTGGGGTGAATATAATACCGAGCACATCTCCCGAGGCTCACATCAATCAGATAACTGCTGTAGCATACGGGCGTCTGGCAAACCTGAGAATTGAATTCCGATACCTCAGTAAGCAATCGTTTAAGACTCTGTATATCATATACGTCAGGCCCATACTGGAGTATGCAGCACAAGTTTGGAATCCACACCTGGTCAAGCACGTCAAAAAATTAGAGAAAGTGCTAAGGGGATTGTCCTTCCCTGACCCTCCTGTCCTGGAGGACAGGAGGGTCAGGGGAGACATGATAACATATAAAATACTGCGAAGAATTGACAAGGTGGACAAAGACAGGATGTTCCAGAGATGGGACACAGAAACAAGAGGTCAGAATTGGAAGTTGAAGACTCCTATGATGTTAGAAGTACTTCTTCAGTCATAGAGTTGCCTAGAAAGTGACGTAGTGGAGGCAGGAGCCATACATAGTCTTAAGACGAGGTTTAATAAAGCTCATGGAGAAGGGAGAGGACCTAGTAGCAATTAGTGAAGAGGCGGGGCCAGGAGCTATGACTCGACCCCTGCAACCACAAATAGGTGAGTCACACACACACACACACACACACACACACACACACACACACCACACACACACACATACACACACACACACACACACACACACACACACACACACACACATACACACACACACACATACACACACACACACACACACACACACACACACACACACACACACACACACACACACACACACACACACACACTCACACACACACACACACACACACACACAGATTAGTGCAGAAGCTGGAGGACCAAGTACGTATAACAGGAAAGGCACTGCAATGGATCAGAGAATACCTGACAGGGAGGCAACAATGAGTCATGGTACGTGATGAGGTATCACAGTGGGCAACTGTAACGAGCAGGGATCTACAGAGGTCAGTCCTAGGACCAGTGCTATTTTTGTTATATGTGAATGACATGACGGAAGGGATAATTTAAGAAGTGTCTGCTCGCAGATGATGTGAAGTTAATGAAGAGAATCAAATCGGATGACCATCAGGCAGAACTACAAAGATACCTGGACAGGCTGGAATCTTGGTTCAGCAACTGGCTCCTCGAATTTAACCCCACCAAATGCAAAGTCACGAACACTGGGGAAGAGAAAAGAAGACCATGGACAGATTATAGTCTAGGTGGCCAAAGACTGCAAACTTCACTCAAGGAAAGAGATCTTGGGGTGAGTATAACACCGAGCACATCTCCTGAGGCTCTCATCAACCAGATAACTGCTGTAGCATACGGGTACCTGGAAAATTTGAGAATAGCATTCCGGTACCTCAGTGAGGAATCGTTCAAGACTCTGTACACCGTGTACGTCAGGCCCATATTGGAGCATGCAGCACCAGTTTGGAACTTACACCTGGTCAAGCACGACAAGAAATTAGAGAAAGTGCAAAGGTTTGCAACAAAGCTAGTTCCAGAGCTAAGGGGAATGTCACGCGACGAAAGGTTAAGGGAAATCAGCCTGATGATGCTGGAGGACAGGAGGGTTAGGAGAGACATGATAATGTCATACAAAATGCTGCTAGGAATTGACAAAGTGGACAGAGACAGGATGTTCCAGAGATGGGACACAGAAACAAGGGGTCACAATTGGAAGTTGAAGACTCAGATGAGTCAAAGATATGGTAGATAGTATTTCTTTAGTCATAGAGTTGTCAGGAAGTGGAACAGTCTAGCAGTGGAGGCAGGAACCAAAGAAAGCTTTAAGATGAGGTTTGATAAAGCTTATCTAGCAGGGAGAGAGGACCCTTGCAATCACAAATAGGTTAGTACACACTTATATACAGTTGACCGTCGATTATGACTGTAGTTACGTTCTTGAAAATGGCATCTATGACGAAATCGTCTAAAACAAACTGAAGATCGTATGGTTAAAATAGAGTTACGTTCCTTAGACCCCCCAAAAGTGGCAAACGTCTTTTTTTTAGGTCTCCAAATTGTAAACAAATAAAATGATAATAGTGAGTAGGACACATGTGCAACAGTTGGGTATCTTTAAGGGGCACATCAATTCTCCTTTTTTCTAATAATATAATTTTTTTCCCCTATAATCTACCTTGTCCATAATTACTACCGCATTTGCTTTGTCTTCTTTCGTAAGGTGAAGTCTAGGCTCCATCCTTAATTCATGGTATAATATAACTAATCTTTGAGGACAATTATGTTGCATTTTCATGATGAAAATGGTATGAAAATGATATAAAATAGACAAGTTGATGAGTAAGACATGTGCAACAACTGGGTATACCTGGAGGGTGTTCCAGGGGTCAACACCACTGCGGCCTGGTCTGTGATCAAGCCTCACAGTGGATCAGGGCCTGATCAACTAGGTTGTTACTGGTGGCCACACGTAAACTGACGTACGAACCACAGCTCAGCTGGTCAGGTGCCTGTCCAGTGCCTTCTTGAAGACAGCCAAGGGTTTATTGGTAATCCCTCTGATTCTTCACCTTGGCCTGTAGAAATGTGCCATGAACATACGTCTAGTGCCACATAGTTATTTTTTTCTAGGCAGTGGTTCAGGTCCGTGTTGTTTAGGATATCCCCGCCAGCTTGTTTCATTTAGGACATGGTTGATTTAATCCGACTGGATGTTTTTGTTAGTGAAGTTGAATTTGGTGAAGGCACCCTCATAACTGATCTCATTTTGCTGGTCAAGAGCCCTGAGCACACACTTTTGTATTTCGATTACGTTGTGATCTTAGTGTATTGTCTTTGATTCTGTTATATGTCGTACCAGATTATCATAGTGAAAATAAGGTCAAGTGTATTTTCCAGTCTTGTTGGCTCTACTATTATGCTGGCTTAAGGTGAATTTGTTTCAAAGACATAATAGTTCACGTATGTGTGAATTTTCATCTAAGCTGCCTTTTGGGGTTATCTCTGCTAAAACATTATTTGCCACATTGCTCCGTTGTAGGTGTCTTAACTTGAAATCTCCCAGCAACGAGATATTTGGGGCTGGGGTAGGAAGGTTTTCTAGATATCAAATTTGAAAAGCTGTTCCTTGAATTGTTGGGAAGTTGTATCCGGTGGCTTGTATACAACCACAATGCCAAAAATTTTGTTTTCAATCTTTACTGCCAAAACTTTAACTATATCATTTGTAGTGTTTAGTAATTCCGAGCAAATTAGCGACTCTGACATATAGGCCAACCCCATCTTGTGTGTCTGTTCTTTCTGTCGAATCTGAATAAGTTGTACCCTGGGATCCATATTTCATAGTCAAAGTGAAACTTTGTGTGGGTCTCTGTCAATGCCACAAACTCTGCACTTGACACTGTAAGGAGTCCACTGATGAAAGGTATTTTATTGTTTGTTGATGGCATCAGACCTTGTGTATTTGCAAAAACAAATGTTGTTGTATTGATGTTGTGTAGAGCTTTATTTGCATTCACTAATATCAATTGTTCTGGAGTGGGGGGCCACTGACTGTCTCCACTCCAGTAGTGATCAGAGGTGAGGTAGTGAAGCGTTTTTGTCATTTCTCGCCAATATTTTTTCTTCCTGAGACTAAAAAATCTCATTCTCTGGAGTCGTTTAAACTATCCTGGTTGTTTCCCAAGATTTATGGGATCTGTACCTTCTGGTTCCCATTAAATGGTGTGCCAGGCAAAAGTATGTCGTAACATTGTCTTTCATGGACTGATGAATAACACATTTCAGGGTGGAATAGTTTACAGGAAGAAGAATTGCATAATCCTTTGGTCATGAGGTCACGGCATTTTTTTTTTTTTTTTGGATGGTCAAAAGTGCATGTTCCATCTGTTTTTCCTAATATTTCATGCCTACAGATAACCAAGGAATAGAATCTGCACAGATTAGATTTTTGTTTGCCAGGATTTTTTTTATGGTTGGGTTCCCTACTGGTGTAATTTTTCTGCAGCACCTGTTCCAGCATCAGTACTACCACCAGTTATTACTGGTAATGTATCAACACCATCTCCCCCAACATCAACCATTTTATTTCCACCTCCAGCATTACTATTTTATATTCCTGGATCT